TCAGCCTGGGCGTTCTGGGGAGCAGGCCGGGGGGTGGGCAGTGGGGCTGCTGGTGTCACTGGGGGACTTCAGGCTTCACCCTGCTTGGTGGCTTTGCAGGCTGTCACCGGGAGGCAGGGAGATGAAGCGGCCGGTCCTTGGGACCCTGCCCCGTTGGCGCCTCTGCCCTGTGGTCGGCCCCTCGGTTCTGGGGACCAAGCCTTCTCTTTGGGCCGCTTGGCTGCCGCGTCCTGCAGCCTTGCCTGCCAGCATCGCGACCTGCGCCTCACGCCCCACCCCCAGCTCAGGTGTCGGCACCTCAGTTTGTGGGTGGGGAGGGCGAGGCCCAGGGAGTGGGCAGCCCGCTGCTCCCGGGGTCAGCGGCAGGGAGCCGGGCTGCGGACCCGAGGCCCCTCCCCTCCCCCAGGCCCAGCTCCCCTGGGGAGAGGTGGGCACCCTGTGCTTGCTTCTTGTTCTGGGGCTGGAGGTGGGGGCGGACCCTTTTGTATCTGTCTCCATCTCCTCCGGCCCCAAGGCCGCCTCCACGTTCTGCCTGGTTCGGGGTTCCAGCTGGTTGGCTCGTCCGTCCCTGCCACCCCCAATCTCTAAGGCTCAGCGAGGACACAGACACAAATCCTGCCACCGTGGTGTGGTGAGCAGGTGCTGGGCGGTTGACAGGCGTCTGGGAAGGCGTCCCAGGTGGGGCGGGGGTTGGGGGCAGGCACAAGTCCTGGGTGCAGAGGCTGGTGGGGGGGTGCTAGGGGGGTGCTAGGTGGTGCTGGACTCGAGGGCCTAAGGCTGGCGTCCTGTGGCCCCACGAGGTTCCCCGTTGTGCACGGGAGAGCAGCGTCTGCTGAGGGGACAGCCTGGGCGTGGGACCCCTCTCAGCAGAGGATGACCCCGTACACTGTGACCTGACCCCAAGCGCTGGGCCAGTCCGGGGGGTGAGCCTGTGCTGCTGGGGCTCTGGCTGCAGCACCCTGGTCGCCCTGGTGGGGTGTGGGGTGGGCCTGCCCCCCCACTTCCTCTTCCTGCGGCCACTGGGGCCCCAGGCCCTGCAGTTGCAGGGCCAGAGGCAGCCACGCTGGAGTTCCTGCCGCCAGCACGGCTTGAGGAGGAAGTGGGGCCCTGTGTCTGCGAAGCCGGGGTGGCCCCAGGGTGTGGGGGTGCTGCTGCCTCAGACGAGCCAGCCGTGCAGGGAAAGGAGGGCCCCCAAAGGCTGGCCCTGCCGTCCTCACGTGAGGTCCGAGCTCTGACTCCCTCGGCTCCTCTGGCGAAGGGGCCCGGAGGCCCCGCGGGCGGCCCTGCCTTGCTGGTCGGGAAGCTCAGAGGGCTTCCTGGGTCCTGCTGGCTGAGGGGAGGCTTCCGGAGCCTGCCCCGGGCCCTGATGAGGGAGGGTAGGAAGGGGCGGGCGTTTCAGACGTCACGGGCTCTGTGGGAGTCGGCGCCGTGGGGGTGTCGGGCAGGACCCCGGGGCCGGTGTCACTAGCTGTGTGACCTCAGGGAAGTGACTGACCCTCTCTGTGCTTCAGTTCCCACGTGTGTGCGATGGCAGCAGCAGTGCCACCCACCTGCAGGGCGGGAGAGAGGGTTTAGGGAGCCAGGGCCCTGGGCCCACATACCTGTGTGTGTGTTGGTGGGGGGGGCCCACCGGCAGGACGTCGGGGGGAGGAGGTTCGCACTCCTGGTTTCCGCTCCTACCTCGGTGTGCCCGAGCTGCCCGAGTCCTCCCTGGGAGGCCATTACAGAGGATGAGGGGAGCGCCCCCGCCCCCGCCCCCACCTCCTGCAGGCCTGAGCCGGGTTGACAGGGACACAGTGGCAGAGGTGTGGGTGCGAGGGGGGTCCCCTGCCTGGCCCAGCCCCTCCCAGAGGAAGGCCTTGGCCTGCCCGTGTCTGCAGGGCTGCATGCTCGCCTCCCACTTAGGTGGGGCCCTCACTCCCAGCTCTGAACCCATCAAGGGGCCGCAGGCGCGTCCTGGGTACAGCAGATGGGGGTGGGGCCCCAACACAGACCTTGGTGACCGGGGCTGTGAGTGACAGAAGCTGAAAACTGGCTTCAGCTGCGAGTGGTACCGCCGGTCCCATGCGACCCAGATGGCGCAGGCTGCTGAGCTTTGGCCAGAGCCGGGCCCGGGGGTCTCTCACCAGCTCTCTGGGTGGGCTTCATTCTCAGGCGGGCTGTGTCCGTCCTCGCGGGCGTTCAGGTGTCTGCCGGGAGCAGAGAGGGCTCCCCTGGTCAGCCAGTGTCCCACAGAGAAGACACTCAGGGAGGCGATTTTGGCGCATGTCCTTCCTCAAACCAGTCCCTGGGGCTCGGGAGAGGCTGTGGATGAGCCGATCCAGGGACATGCGGCCCCTGAGCCAGGGGACCGGGACTGGGGGAGGCGACAGTGCAGCAGAAGTAGGAGAAACCCCCCCCCCAACTGGACCCTCAGGGGTCCTCTTCCTCTACAAAATGGGGCTGCCCCCTGCCCCCACATTCCCACCAGACTCACCGTGACGTTTGGCACACCCGAGGGACCTGAGACCTCCATCCCTCCGAGCAGAGGGTCTTGGCTCTCCCAGGTGCAGGTGTCTGGGTGCAGGGACAGGGAGGCAGGGCTGGGCTCGGCCTGAGGTGGACCTGCCAGCCCGGACGGCCCCGTGGAGGAGGCGCTGGGCTCCGCAGGCTGAGGCTGCAGGGTATTGGTTGGAGACATGGCAGAGGGGACCCTGTGTCCGGCCGGGGTCTCAGAGGGGCCCTCCAGCTGCCGCTGAGTCAGCTGCCGAGAACTGGTGGTCGGACAGAAGGGCCCGGAGACCTTCCCTAGCAGAGGGGGCCTCTGGACCGAGTTTGGGGGTTGGCTCCCAAGGAGGAGCCGTCTCTTGAGGGGTGACAGACGCAGGCTTCCTCCAGGCCCTGCCCTGCCGAGGAGCGATTCGAGGTCTCTGGGTGGGCCCAGGGCCTAGTGCTGTCATCGCCCACCTCCTGCCCCCCTGCCGTTGCCCGGGAAGTGGCCTAATTAGACCCTGAGAGCGATGTTTACCAGGCCCGAGTCCCATGGACCTGCGCAGCTGGTCCTCCTCTCTGCACGCCCGGCTCAGCCTGGAGGGGGAGGTTGGCAGCCGGGGCTGAACGGCGGTGCAGGGCGTGTGTGTCTGGGTGTCTGTGAGTGTGGTTTTCCCCGGGGGAGCAGCTGTGGGGTCGCCCAGCCCCCCAGTGTTTGGGGTTTCTCAGCCTGGCAGCCCTGCCGCACCGGCTTTGGCGCCAGGCCCAAGGCACGGCCAGTGCTCGGTCTGGAGCTGCCGCTGCCGGGAGGAGCTCCGTGGGGAAGCTGCTCGGCTCAGCGAGGCAGCGGGGCCTGCCTGGGCGCCCCCCGGAGCACCAGGTTGGGAGCTGGCAGACCCGGGGTGAAATTCCAAGCCTGCTACCGGCCAGCTCCGGCTGCGTGACCTGGGACGAGCCCCTCAGCCTCTGGGCTCAGATATGTATCTGTGAAATGGCTGTCACGCTTTGGCCTTAGCGGGTTATGAAGGGGGCAGTGGGTACGGTGTGGCGGTTCTGGGGGTGCCCTGGCTTGGGGGTGTCTCAGGACAGGGGCCTTATCCTGCCCAGCAGACCCCACAACACAGGGCTGGCGTGGTGGTGGGCAATGGAAAGATGCCGTCTGTGGGATGGAGACCCGGCAGGTTTGGAGTGAGGCGGTAACCGGCGGACTACGCTGCTCAGATGTAAAAGTTGACGTTTACAAGCTGCATTCGGTGGAGAGATGAGATCGTAGCTGGTCTAAGCGCTCCGGCAGCCTGGCCACCCTCGGCCGGGTCGCCCAGGAGGGGCGGCCTGCTGAGGCTCGTGGACCTGCCTGGGCCTGGAGGGGGCCAGGGCCCCAGCCCCAGCCGGAACTCCCCTGCACCCCCAAGCATGTGGTTTTCCTGTTTTTTTTCCTGGGGTTCATGCTCCTGGATGGGGGTGTGGTCAGGAGCTGGACACCTGGCCCAGGGCTGCTCCCTCGGCTCAAGACCCCAGCCCCACCCCCTGTGTCTGGGGCCTGCACAGTTTCGGGCCACTTCCCATCACTGGGGACCGGGAGCCCCGGGCACAGAGAGCCAGCTTGGCACTCGGGCAGTGCCGTGAGCCTGTCAGGCCCAAGGCGGGGCCGCCAAGCCTTTCTGGAGTCGGGGAAACGGGGCCCATCTGGGCTGAGCATCGCAAGCCTGGGGTCTGTTCTCCACTCTGTGACAAGGGGTCCACCGGGTTTCCTCTCCGAGGTTCAGTTCCTTTTCTGTGAAGTGGGGCCTGCGAACTTCTCCACTTCCTGTCAGGGGCCCTTTGTAAAGAGTGTGGTCGTGCGTGCAAAGGTAACATAACACAGGGGGGGGACGTCTGGCTGAAGCGGGCAGGGGCCTGAGACTCGGGGCTCACTAAGAAGCGGGGTCCTCACAGCAGGGCTGTGGGGGCAGGGGAGAGCCTGCAGTGGCGGGCCCATGTCCACAGGCGGGCGCACCCACGTAGCACAAAGGTGGCCCCTCGGAAACTCCCTGGGAAGGGAGAAGGCGGCTTCAGTGGCCGCTGCCGGGATGAACAGTGAGCCTCTTGGACGAGGGGGTGAGGCTGGACCTCTGCCTCACACCAGAGTGTCAGCTGGACCTGGGAGTGGTGAGAATGACACGGGCAGAGTGATCAGGCGCGGCCGTTTCCGCACGTCCAGTAGAATAGTCACTAGTGGTGTGTGGTAGCTGAGCGCTCGGAATGTGACTGGAGTGACGGAGGGGCCAAGTTCATTTCCTGTGAATTGCCTTTGATTTTAAGGGGGCCACGCAGGGCTGGTGACGACGGCACCCCACAGAGCAGTTCCAGGAAACACAAGGCTTCGTGAGCGCGGGGTGTGCGGAGCTTTAAACAGGACTCAGAGTCAAGTTCAAGCTCGGGCAGATAGATCCGACCCCGGACTGTGAGGCCCCGCTCCGCTGCCCCCAATGCCAGCCCGTCCCCGCCTCGGCCCACCCAGGTCAAATCCGGGTTGCCTTGTGTGTCCACAGAGCTGAGGAGCCCACGTGTCTGGTCAGCCCGGCCTGGACGCAAAGGAAGATGACCGCAGCGCAGTGACCGCAGCCTGGCGGTGGAGCAGGCAGACCCTGAGTCGCCCATGCAGGCCGAGGGGGCCTTTCCCCAGCCCCGTCTGCCAGGCTGGGAGAGGCCAGAGGCCTAGGCCTGCAGGGGAGGTGCTGGCCCCCCGATGCCCCCCGGGCCGTGCGGGCTCCTGAGTGGACGGCCAGCCAGGTGCGCCAAGGCGGGAGCATGCCGGCCAAGGGGCGTTACTTTCTCAACGAGGGCGAGGAGGGCCTGGACCGCGACGCCCTGTACGAGAAGTACCGCCTCACCAGCCAGCACGGCCCGCTGCTGCTCACGCTGCTCTTGGTGGCCATCGTGGCCTGCGTCGCCCTCATCGTCATCGCCTTCAGCTTCGGGGTAAGTCAGGGCCGCCCCCCTGGGCAGTGGGGGTTCCGCTGGGGTTCGGATCTCGGCTGTGACGCCCGGTCTTGGTGAAGCCTTGGGCAGACCTCCTCGTTTCTGCCTCTGTAAAGTGCTCTGCCGGTGGCGGGCAGGGTTTTAAAATTTTGAAGTCTGGGGCGGTTTTAGATGTGACGTGAATTTGGCCGAATAGGCTGCCCTCACGTTTCTCCCCTGTGAACTTGGATTCTATCGAAGAGCGTGGTCAGGGGTGGCCTGTGTGTCACTGCTGCCTCTTCTGGTCCCACGGCAGACATCGAGACTCAGTGCTGGCACCTCCTGGCGGAGCCGGGCTGTGGTCTCGGCGGAGCCGAGTCCGTGGGGGCTGCAGCTGCCCCACCGCCACCACTGATCCCCGTCTCTGACCCCGCCTGCCCCAGCCACTGCCTAGGGGCAGCCGCAGAGCACTTGACCTGTGGCTGAGGTGCTGATTTCTAACTGATCTCTCCTCGTGGAAACTTGATTTTCAATGGCTGCATGAACAGCAGCGCCTGAGACAGAAGCACGAGAGCGCCGCCAGGGTGGAGGGTGGAGGGTGTGCCCGGCACCCAGTAGGCGCTGCTTAAACCAGGGGACATTCCAGCATTCAGCAAACAGTGATTGAGTACCTACTGTGTGCAGGTGCCCCCTCAGCCTCTGTGTGCATGGAGCCGAGGGCCGCGGGGGACACCAGGTGCTGTCCCTGCAGAGACCTGTCTCTCCTGCAGCCCCCACCCCCCACCGTATCCTAGTCTGTGCCTTCACTCCAGCTCTTCCCCGTGTGGGGTGTTGCGGGAGCGACGACTCCTTCGAGGGTCCCCCCAGTGCCACGGACACAAGTGAATGAATAATGACCGAGACATGCTGAGATCTGTTTAGGGGAGGAGGAGTGGGCTGTGGCCAGTTTCTCAGGGGACACAAAGGCCAGCAGCAGCCAGTTTCTCCAAGGAGAAAAAGGCCCCAGGTGCCCTCTTCCATAGCCTTTTATTGGGTTGTAATACACAGGAATACAGGGCGGCAAGGATCAAACAGCAGATAACATTACAAAGAGGTCTGAGGGCTTCAGAGTCTGAGTCAGTGTCTGTCAGGAAGAGAGTTGCAGAAACTTTGGGAGACATACTCATTTCCTCTCGGACCCTTATCATATGAATGAAAGCACTCTTAGCAGAGCAGATTTCACAGGTTTATCAGGAAGTCTTTGTGATGTCAGATTTTTCCCCAGGGCACGCTCTAGCAAGGCAAGGAGCTGCACCCCTCCCCATCAGGTATTCAGGCTTAAGGGGATTAGAGCCAGGAAGCACCTCTCCCAGGAGACATGTGGACTCAGGCATTGTCAAAGCTGGGGGCGAGAGTCCATTGCTCTTTGTTGCAGCCCCCCCCCCCAGTCCTTCCATGAAGGCCTCTCAAGTAATCGAGCCTGGCTTAGGTTGCCCCCCGATTGTGAGGGGTCTTACCCGTCATTGACTTCTGACCAAGCTCTGGGGCCAGGGAGAGGAAACTGAGGCAGCGTTTGCTACCAGAGACAAGCTTTGTCTCCTGCAGCTCGCATTCCAAAGGTCATCCCTCGCCCTTAGCCACAAGGGGTAGAGATACAATTCCTAAAATCAGGCAGAGTGGTCTACAACGGTCTGCTCGCCCTGTCCTCATAACCCTGCTGGTTCTTTAAGGACCAGGGGCCTGTCCCAGCGGGTGTGCCCAGGGAGCCCAGGGAGCCCTGATGAGGGGCTGGGCAGGGAGCCAGCGAGGCAGGGCCCGGCTGTGCAGGCTGCGCAGGCAGCCCTGGCGGAGGCAACAGCGTGGACTGGGCCTGCTGGTGAGAAGGGACCTGCCGTTTAGCAGGAGCGTAGACACCACCCACGCGGAAGGAGCCGCAGGGGGCTGGGAGCTCAGGGCAGGCTGGAGAGGCCACCCTGGCGGGCTCTCTGGAGGAGGTGGCATCTCCACACATGTTTTCCGTGCCCAGGAGCCCTCCCGACAGCAGGCCGTGCTGGGGACGGCGTTCCTGACGCTGGCCGTGTTCGTCGTGCTCTACGTGCTGGTGTACATCGAGTGCCTCAGCCGGCGGTGGCTCTGGGCCTCGGCGCTGCTCACCTGGGCCTGCCTCTTGACGCTGGGCTATGTGCTGGTGTTCGACTCGTGCAGGAAGGCCACCTGCGCGTGGGAGCAGGTAACAGATTGGGCTGGTGGCCGCCATGCGGACAAAAGCTCGTTCCCCGGAGGGGCGGGTGCAGGGCAGGCGGGGTGGCAGTGGCCGGCGCTGAGTGTGGACGGGGCGGGTGAGCGGGCCCTGCCCAGCGTCTGGTCGTTACCTTTCGTGTGGGGGAGGGCTGCAGACAGAGGACAGCACGCCGGGGCTCCCTGGTCCCACCCGAGGGGCCGGGGAGGCTTGGTCTCGGCCCCGATTGTAAATCAGCTCATAGGAAATGAAGGATCAAGTTGGCTGGTCTGACCCACAGGAAGATTGTGACTTTTTCTGTCTGCTCTGGGCATCTGTCACCCCGTCTCCCCTGCAGGGGAGGGTGGGGCCTTCCTGAGGGCAGAGGGCGCAGTCTGGGGCTGTGTCCTGGGCTGCGGGTGGCGTGGCCAGGCCCCGCACCTCACGTCCCGATGTTCTGTCCCCAGGTCCCCTTCTTCCTGTTCGTGACCTTCGTGGTGTACACGCTGCTGCCCTTCAGCATGCAGGGGGCCGTGGCAGTGGGGCTCATCTCCAGTGTCTCCCACCTCCTGGTGCTGGGCGTTCTGATGGAAGTCTTCTCATCCCCCAGCGTCGGGGTGGGGCTGCAGGTGAGGGCCTTGAGGGGGCCTGGGTGGGGACTGAGGTCCGGGCTGAGGGCAGCCAGGCCCCCGGGGGTGACAGGGGTGAGTAGGTCCCGAAGCTGGGGGGCTGAGTGTGCAGACCAGCAGCCTTCCGGGCAGACTTCCTCAGGAGGCCGCCCCCACCCCCCCCGGAAGGCGGTCTGGCCCTGTGGTCTGTGCCCGTGCCCCCAAGGCTCAGCCCCTCCCTCGATCCCAGGCCCTCTGGGCCCCTTCCTGAGTGTGGGGCACTGTCCTGGGATACAGAGCTGTCCCTGGGGTCTCACCCTCAGGGCCGTGGCCTGATAGGGCTGGGGACGCGCCTGGACATTCTGCCTGTGTCTTTGTGTTGAGTGAGCAAAATTTGCACACATGTAGCGGTGAATTACACGGGTTTCCCTCCTGACTGGACCTAGTGTCTGCTCCAGGGGGTAGAAGCCAGACAGCCAGGGGACACCGTGCCCCCAATGACAGCCCATGGCGCTCCCTCGGGCTCTATGAGGCACTGTGCCCCTGCCTTCCCTGAAGGGACTGGCTCCCTGGTGTTTGGGGCCCAGCCCTCCGGACCAGCAGGTGGACGGTAGCTGCTGTGTGGGGCCTCTGCCCCGGTCCTGCCGTCACAGTGACTTCCTGCCTGGAGCTCAGTTTCCCTGCCTGCCCTGGGACGGTGCACCTCAGTGGGCCGGAGGTCAAGGCATGGGCAGGAGTGCCATCCGATGCCAGCTCCCCAAGGGGACAGTGCCCCGGGGCTCCAACCAGGCCAGATGTGAGCTGCCTCCGCCTACCTACCCGCAGCTGCTGGCCAACGCGGTCATCTTCCTGTGCGGGAACCTCACGGGCGCCTTCCACAAGCACCAGATGCAGGATGCCTCCCGCGACCTCTTCACCTACACTGCAAAGTGCATCCAGATCCGCCGGAAGCTGCGCATTGAGAAGCGCCAGCAGGTGGGGGTCCCGCTCCCCGCCCGCCCTAGCCGACCCCCGGCCCCACGCCCTGAGTCCTTTCTCTGTGGACATCGGGCAGCCTGTGCGTGGGCGGTATGGCCAGATGCGAATGCAGGCCTCACCCCAGGGCGCTGCTGGGGACAGGGGGATGGGGACCTGGCAGGGGTGGTGGCAGGACAGGCCAGCAGAGGTGGAGGGGGCAGTGGGCAGAGCAGGAAGGAAAGGCGTGTGGGCCAAGCCTGGGGCTTGACATCCCCCTGCCTGTCCCCCGCATGCCCCACCCCCCGGTGTCCAGGAGAACCTGCTTCTCTCCGTGCTCCCGGCCCACATCTCCATGGGCATGAAGCTGACCATCATCGAACGGCTCAAGGAGTGTGGGGACCGTCACCGCATGCCCGATAACAACTTCCACAGCCTCTACGTTAAGCGGCACCAGAATGTCAGGTGGGCAGGCGGGGGGCGGGTAGGGGAGGCTCATGGTGTTTCCCGGCAAGGCCTCCCTGCCGCCCTTCTGAGCTGTGGGGGCCCAGAGCTCAGAGCTGGGAGGTCTGGAGCAGATGGCGTGTCCGGGCAGCCTTGGCCTCCCCGAGCCTCAGTTTGCTCATCTGTAGAATGGGAGCCCTGCCAGGGGAGGCTGGGGTTGCAAAGTATGAGGTAGCTCAGCTCAGAAGTCAGAGGGAACGTGGACATCCGGGGAGGAGAAGGGAGTTGCCAGGTGCCAGCGCGATGGCCCGTAGGAGTGCCATCCAGCACCTGCAGTGGGGTTCGCCTCCACTGGAACCCTCTGGAACTCTACTTGGCCTTTGTGGCCGGAGTGCCCCTCCTGTCCCTGTGGAGGCTGTGGAGTAGCAGGGGTGACTGGGGCCCCGCCCGGTCTCCGTGTCCCATGGGGCTGGCTCTGACCACTGGCCCCCTGCCCCCAGCATTCTCTATGCCGACATCGTGGGCTTCACGCGGCTGGCCAGTGACTGCTCCCCCAAAGAGCTGGTGGTGATGCTGAATGAGCTCTTCGGCAAGTTTGACCAGATCGCCAAGGTGAGCCTGCCGGTTGTGCTGCCCCCACCTCTGCTGGGGGACAGTCAGGAGCCCCTCTCGTGGCGTCCTGGGGTCCTGTGCCCAGCGCTGTGCAGGGACTGGTGCAGGAGGCCTGGGCGGAATTTTCGTCTTCAGTCAACAAACACTTTCGAGCGCCCCGTGTTAGAAGGTAGAGGTTGAGTGGTGGCTGAGGTGGCTAGAATCCTGTCCCCCAGAATGTGAGGCCGGTGGGGAGACTCACCGTCCACAGCAGGGGAGCACAGGGGCTCAGGAGCTCAGGTTGGGGCTCCGGAAGGCTGCCTGGAGGAGAAGGCACCCCCTTACTATGCCAGGCCGTGGCCTTGGCTTCACCTGGGAGCCTGGGGGGACTGTGGGCTGCAAGGTGTGCCCACATCTGCCTCCGGCAGTGTCCCCGGGGGATGGCGTGGACATTAAAGTCCGAGAGATGTCAAAAGAGACCTGAGGGGGAGGGAACAGTGTTCAGGGCAGAGGGAAAAGCATATGCGAAAGTGGCTCAGCGTGAAGGGGACAAGGTCACAGGGTTGGACCCGCAAGGACCTGAGGGCCGAGGGAAGGAGTGGGACTTGACCTAGGCCCCTAGAGAGCCTGGCAGGTGCCAAGCAGGGGAGGTCGTTGGGCAAAGGGTCTCCAGGACGCAGCTGGTGGGAGAGAGGCGGAGACCAGACTGGCTGAACCCAGATCTCGCTATGTTGTCTGTACCTGGGGCGGGGCAGGTACTAGGGGGAGGGGCCTCAGTCATTCATTAATTTACATATGGTCTCAAGCCCTGCTGAGTGGCAGCCCTGAGCTTGCATGGGGCCTTGGGCTTGTCTGGAAGTTGTTCTGGGCTGACATGTCCTCCAGTTGCAGAGGGCTGCAAGGGCTGGGACTGGGGAGCACCTAGCCCCGACTCAGGTGGTCAAGGCAGGCTTCCCGGAAGCAGTGGCTGCTAACGAGAGACCCAGATGTGAGACGTGAGGCAGGGGTTCTTTATCTTGGCTGCGTGTTCGGATCACGTGGAAAACTTAAAGCAGCCTACTCTCCATGCCTGGGCGGCTTCATGTGCAGAGGACCAGTGGTCCCAGCTTGGTGAGAGGCCAGGTCTGGCCTGCACTGGGAAGAAACTGTCACAGTCAGAACCGTTCAGTCCTAGGAGGGACTGCTGTGTCAGGAGTGGGCTCAGTCTCTGGGGATGAGCCTCCCATCACAGGGGAAACCAAATTACAGTTGGACACCACTGGCCGATGGTGCCCTGGTGGACTGTCCCGTCCCTGCTCTTCGACTCCCTGGGTGTTGGGGACTGAGTGACCCGGCGGGCCTGTCTAGCCTGCAGCCTGCCTTTGTGACTTCTTCCGAACTGGCCGATGGGAGTTCCCAGAAGCTGGGCCTTATGTGGGCCAGGGGCCAGGTTCCCTGGCCACTGCTGGCCCTCTCCCTGCCACAGAGTCCGAGAACCTCTGTGGTCTCTTAGAAACAGCCCACCCTCCGTCCCTCCTGCTGGGGCAGGCTCAGGCGGCAGCCCCATCTTAGATGGGGACAGGAATGCTGTGGCAGGCGGCAGCCCCCCAGCTGAGAGCTGGGCAGGGCCAGGCCCAGCCTCTTCTTCCACCAGCAGTGGCTTCCAGGACTGTGACTCCCTGGGTAGACGCCCGCCCGCTGAGGTGTCACGTCACATCTGGGCTCAGGAACCTACTACCCGTCACACGGCTGCACAGTGTCCTCAGTTGTGTGTGTCAGAGGTGGCGAGCCGGTCAGGGAGCAGCCTGGGGGTGTGGGCTCCTGGAAGACCCCGGGGGGCGAGGTGGGGTGTGGCTGGGCGGGCCCTCTGGGAGCAGCAGGAGCACTGACCTGTGTCTGGGCGTCAGCCCCGACCCCCCTAACCCCCGACTTCCTGCTGCCTTCTAGGAAAGCTGCTTTCCTCATGTCCGTAGGCCAGGCCGAGTAGAGGTCACACAGGGCCCTGCAGGGCGCAGCTGGCCTAGACTCAGGTGGGGTTGCTGGAGGAGGGTGTAGAAAGGGGACCTGTCAGAAAGGTGTGAGAGGTACAGGGACCTGGACAGAGGGGTGGTGTCCCCCCGGTCATGGACGCAGGGCCATCACCACCTGGTGTGGGAGGGAGTGGGCACTCGACCTGGACACAGAGGAGGCCTTGGCTGAAGGAGAGCGGAGGTAGTGGTGCCCCAGCCCTGGCCTCCTTCCCCCCCCCCACCAGGGGCAAAGCTACTTGCTGAGGCCCCTGTGGGCACTCGGGGTGGGCAGAGTGTCCAGCATGGAGCTCCCTGTGCATGTCCCCGAAAACCCCATGCCCAGGGTCTTGGTGTGTGTGGCCACCTTTGCTGAGGGCTTACAGAGGCTCTAGTGGTCACAGAGGCACCTCAGATGGGACAACCAGACAGCTGGTCTGGGCCTCCCCGCCTGCCGTGGGCATTTTCCTGTGTGACTCAGCCTCTCTCGCCCCCATATTTCCTCTCTGCTCTCGGCCCACACCCCAAACCCTGCTGCCCGAGCAGCAGAGCCACCTCTCTGTCTTCCCCACCGGCTCGATCCACGATCCGCTTCAGCCACACTGACTGCCGTGCGGCCCTGGCTTTGTGGCCCCAGGGCCTTTGCTCATGCTACTTCCTCCTTCCGCCTGGACCGCTCTTCTTCCGGATACTGCTGTGGCTTGCTTCCTCCTTTTTTAGGTCTTTGCTCTGACATCACCTTCTCTGAGAGGCATTCTCTGGCCTTCTGGGAACGTCCACTCCCCTCCCTTGCCTGATTTCCCCCCTCAGCCCTTATCACCTTTGGATGTCTAAGATTGCATCCAGCATAGGGTGCAGTCCTGCCCACCAGTGTGTGAACCCCACGGCTGCAGGGAGTTTTGTCTTTGTTCACTGCTGTGCCCCCGTGCCTGGGCTGGGCAATCAGTAGGTGCTCAAACATTGCAGGGATGAAAAGCACAGGGAGTGCCTCCTCCAGGGTCGTTCGGGTGGCTGGTGAAAATACTTGTTTTCGCCGCTGAAGCTTGGCATTCCCCCTGGAGGCCCCCCGGGTCCCCCGGGTCCCCTGGGTCCCCTGGGTCCCCTGGGTCCCCTGTCCTCTCGGCAGGCCCAGGAGCAGCTCCTGGTGGCTGGCACCCCAGGAGGGAGTCCTGGCTGGGAAGTGGGGTGGCTGCCCATGTGACCCCTGACCCCTGACCCCTGCTGACCCTGTCCTGCAGGCCAACGAGTGCATGCGCATCAAGATCCTGGGTGACTGCTACTACTGCGTGTCCGGCCTGCCTGTTTCGCTGCCCACGCACGCCCGCAACTGCGTGAAGATGGGGCTGGACATGTGCGAGGCCATTAAGTAGGTACCTCGGGCGTGTCTGAGGCCAGGGCACGGTGGGGAGCGCGTCGTCCCCCTCGGTCGGATGAGGAGAGCAGGGGGCTTCGCCTGGATGGTCTCGCCGTCGGTTTTGTGCCCCTCCCTCTGCGACTCCTTGTCAGGGAGCCTGAGGCCGGGCAGCGGGGCTGCCTTCCTCCCAGGAGGGTCACAGCGGTGGCCGGAGGTGCTGGCAGGCAGACACAGGGGCCCACCGGAGGCTGCCCTGCTGCAGCTCCGCCCACCTGACTTCAGGCAGCCCCACCCCTAGAATGTGTGGCGTTTGTGCGGGTCCCCTTCTGCTCCCTCTGCCTTTGGCCCTGGTAGGCGTGTCCTTCCCCAGCCTCGTTCATGGACACACTGCCCTGGCTGCTCCCCGATCGTCATTCTCTTCTCAAAGGGACCCAGAGGCCTGCTCCTGTGGGGGGCGCTCTGTGCCCTGGGGAAGGTCTTACTTGGGCTCTCCTTGTCCTGAGTGATGCTAACGCCTGACCCCCAGAGTCCCTGTGCCTGGAGAAGGCCCCCAAAGGCTGGTGGCCCCTGCGATCTTGGTGTCTGGGGGTTTGGAGAGGGACCCAGGCAGGGCCTCCAGGTGGGGAACACCCAGAGGGAGCATTTTAGGGTCTTCAGTGTGAGTTGCAGAGACTGATGAGGCTTGGAATTTCCTCCTTCTCCAGCCTTTGACCTTGGGGTGGCCACACCCCTTTGCACACTCCTGGAGATGGGGCGCTGAGCTCCCTCCAGGAGGCAGCCCCACGGGGCCGAGGACGTCCCTGCACCCTCTCCCACTGCCTTGCTCTGTCCCACCCCACGCTGGGGCCGCGAGCCTGCCCTGGGTGGGGTTCAGGGCCCCACGAGCAGCCCTGGCTGGGCCGAGGTGACCCCACTTCCCCCTCAGGCAGGTGCGGGAGGCCACGGGCGTGGACATCAGCATGCGCGTGGGCATCCACTCGGGGAATGTTCTGTGTGGTGTCATCGGGCTGCGCAAGTGGCAGTATGATGTGTGGTCCCATGATGTGTCCCTCGCCAACAGGATGGAGGCAGCTGGAGTCCCTGGGTGAGGCTGGCCGACCCCTCTGAACTGGGGGGTCAGGGTGGGTCAGAGGTGGAAGCAGTGACCTCGAGGTGGGGGGAGCTGGCCTGGACTCCCGTCTGCTGGTCACTGTGGGGCAGGTGCCGGCCCGCTGCGGGCCCTACTGCTCCGTCTGACCTCCGTTTCCCCAGCCGGGTGCACATCACGGAGGCGACACTGAGCCACCTGGACAAGGCATACGAGGTGGAGGAGGGGCATGGGCAGCAGCGAGACCCCTACCTGAAAGAGATGAACATCCGCACCTACCTGGTCATCGACCCCCGGGTACGAGGGCTTGGACACAGCAGGCTGCGGGGTCCACACCCAGGGGGAGGGCCCTGGGGGGAGGGTGGATCAGAGGCCTGCCCGGGGTGGGAGTGAGCTCCCCGTCACTGGGTACAGAACCAACTTTCCCAGGGCCTCAGCGTTCATCCCCTGAGAAATGGGCGTGACAACAGCGCCCCCAAAGGGGAGTCTGCTGGTCCGAGCAAAGCCCTCACCGGGTGCATCCTAAACAGCTGGGAAGGAAGTCCCCATGAGTTCACTTTCCATGTGGTTGTCACTCATTCCCCAGTTTTCCAGAGACCCATTTTAAAAACACGCTCTGAGACAGCCTCAGGAAAGCAGGGGCTGGTCCTCCATGCATCCTGGACTACGACCTGTGGAGTGGGTCTGCTCGGCCAACGCTCCTGCTTCCATCATGACCCTGTGGTGGCGGAGGCCCTGGGGCTGCTCCCAGCCCACCCCACATCCACCCCCCCGGGAGGCTGGCGTGTCCTGGAGCCACTGGTGAATCATCCTTGGGGCTCGCTCAAGAATGTCGGCCACGCAGGCTCTTTGAGCTCCCTCTCACTCCAGCCTTGTCCTTGGCCGTCCTCAGGGCTGGCCTGCCTGCCTGCCTCCCCCAGCCCCCGCCCCCACCCCACCTCACAAACCACCGAGTGCTCGGTGACAGCGTCCCCTGCAGGGTGGAACTGGGTGCCAATATTGCTTCTGGTGCCCTGCCTCCCACCCCACCTTGTGGAATCTTCATTCTCATAGTTCAAATGCAAATAGCTTGGAGAGCACATGGTGGAGATTTTCCATGGGCCTTGTCCACGGCCAGCACGTCCCCCTAAAGGGGGCCTGTGATTTTTTGAGTTCCTGCCCCAGGGATGTCTGACGAGAGGGGGAGACAGACAGGTGACCTGCCCCCACTCCAGGGCAGGTGCCCACCGCAGGGTGCGGTACATTCTGGGGCCCTCGGATGCTCACAATGGCCGGCTCCCACGCTGTTCCCCTGGGCCAGGCCGACAGGCACCTCTCGGGGTCTAGAAATGCTTCTGTCCCAAAGGAAGGCTAGAGGTTTCCAGAGAAGTTGCTCTGTGGCTGCGTGAGTTTGTGGGTGTAGGTGCTGGTGGGGCCCCGAGGAGATGGGGACTCCTAGAGGGCTGTAATGTCAGGGGTTAGGGGGACTCGAGAGGGCCCAAGCTTGTTCCTGGTGGCCTTGGGGTCTTTCTCATCCTCCCCCTTTTAAGTCCTGCCCAGCCTCCCAGCCAGGGAAGGTCCGAGGTGTGGTGCTCTTTGGGGCTGGGACCCTGGGGGAGGAGGCAGAGCTGGCTAAGCCACTGCGCCCCTGGCAGTGGCCGCGGCAGACACATGGCAAGTGATGGACCTGGGCTGCGTTTGGGGGCTGCACAGTGGGAGCGACCAAAATGGTGCCCCAGAGGGGGAGGGGCATCTCGCTGTCTCTCCAGGTTGCAACCAGCACTCTGTGCCCTCCCAGCTGGTCCCCACAGAAGGACATGTGCCGGCCACACATGGGAGGGTAGGGCCAGACGCGTTTCGCTTCCTGGGACCCGTCTCCCCGGGACCTGTCTCCCCAGGGAGCCTTCATAGGAAGGGGCCCCAAGGACGGCGTCTGGTTCCCAGGAGGGCAAGTGGGGCCTTTGGGCTTAGGACCCGCCCCTACATCTGTCCCTGGGGAGGTGGAGGCACAGGTGTGAGGGCTGTGCACAGGTGTGTGACCCGTTTACTTCCGGAGTGTGGAGGGCCACACCCTACTGGGCACACCCCACCGGCCTGGCCAAAGTGTGCACTGGGCTTCAGCCAGGCCCCCACGACTGCAGACCCAGGTGGAGCAGCTGGTGGGCCCCCCATTCCGGGCTGCGTTGTGTGTTGGGGGCCGGGAGGCAAGGGGTGAGACAGACTCTGTGCCGCCCACAGAGCCAGCAGCCACCCCCACCCAGCCACCACCTCTCCAAGCCCAAGGGGGACGCCGCCCTGAAGATGCGGGCGTCGCTGCGCATGACCCGCTACCTCGAGTCCTGGGGGGCAGCGCGGCCCTTCGCCCACCTCAACCACCGAGAGAGCGTGAGCAGCAGCGAGAACCCCGTCCCCACCAGCCGGAGGCTCAAGGTAGGGCCCGTCCCTCAGGGCGCTGGGCACCGGATGCTCTCTGAAGGGGACAGCAGAGCAGGGGGCACGCAGGGTCCTCCCAGCCGGCCTCACTGTCCCCATCTGTGCAGTGGGTCGGCTTTCTGCCCACCCTCCCGGGGGAATGAAGGCACGCGGGCAGTGCTCAAGGGCGGCTGGGACGTCTCCACCCCTCAGTGCTCAGAGGAGGTCAGCTTTGGTTCCGGCTGCCCCCAGCTGGGATGTCCCTGCCACCCTGCCCGTGTGTCCAAGGCAGTGGACATGGCCCCAAAATGGACTCTTGGCCCTGCGCCCTGGTGAGTAATGGTCTCTTCTCCCCCCTTCCAGGCCATCCCCTTGCGGCGCTACCGGGCCCCTGACAGGTAGGCGTGCGGTCCCCTCCCTCGACACTATGTGGCCTACCTTTCTAGCAAGTCCTGTCCTAGCTGCCTCCTCCAGGCTGGCTGCCTTGACTAGCTTTTGGCAACAAGGGCAGCTCTGGGAGGCCCGACCCTGACCACAGAGCTTGCCATGCATGGCCCGGGTCCGAGTGTTCTAGAAAACAGAGCTGCACAATGTTTGAGCGCCTGCTGTGTGCCCGCCCAGTGGCAGTGTCCATCAGAGGGGTTGGTGTGTGGGAGGCCTTGGGGGCTGGTGGCTCTGTTTCCTGCTGGCCCTTCACTGTCCCGCACGGGCTCCACACGGCCACCGCTACACAGCGGGCTCGGGGCCCTGAGCTGACGCCTGTGGGTGTCCGATTCCAGAGGTGCGTCCCCCAAGGGCCGGTCGGAGGATGACTCAGATGATGACGAGATGCTGTCAGCCATCGAGGGGCTCAGTTCCACGAGGTGAGGGGCCCGGGCCTCCGCCTACCCAGCCCCCCTCAAGCGGGGGCTCCCCATGTGGCCAGGCCCCCAGTGACCCTGCTCCAGTCACATCCGTGGGCGCCGTTTTCCCTTCCTGGCACTGTCTCCTGAGGGTGGTGTCCCTCCCCCACCTGCCCACCCACACCTGCCCCCCCCCCCCCGCAGGCCCTGCTGCTCCAAGTCCGATGACTTCTACACCTTTGGGTCCATCTTCCTGGAGAAGGGCTTCGAGCGAGAGGTGAGGGCCCCGGGTGGTCCCAGGGAGGGGGCTCCAAGGCCTGGGGGGTGGCAGAGGGTGCAGGCCATGGGCAGCTGCACCCCCAGATCTTTTCGGGGAGGTGGCGTGGAGTCGCTCCAGTGGGCTGTTGGGGAAGGGGACAGAGGCTCAACCTGTGGCCTCCACCCGGCACCCCACAGGCCCTCACTTACTCCCTTCAAGCGCCGCTGCCAGGGAAAGCCCCCCGCCTGGTACCAGCGGCACGGGGACTACCTGGCGGTCCAGCCACTGTAGCAACTGGCTTTTGTACCACTGGTGGCCAGCGGACTGGTTTGCCGAGTGCCCACTGGGTTTGGGCACCGTCCCCTGTCACATGTCCTGCACCAGGGAACCTTGTGGGCAGAGGCCGTGTGATGTGCTACATGTGGGGGTGGGCGGGGGGGTGCAGCAGCTTGGCGGCCCGGCCTTACTCCTCAGTCTGGGGTGAGGACAGGATCCCCTGCCCGCCCCAAGTCACAGCAGCCCCGGAGCCCAGGTCTGGTTCCCGGGGCAGACTTGGGCCCTGGGCTCCTTGGGGGCCTCGGAAATCAAGAGGGAGACCTGAGCAGGGTGTGGGAGGGGAAGGTGTGGCCTCTAAAGACACTGGGAACAAGTTGTTTGTTGGTGGTGGTGGGACATCCTCACCTGCGGCGCAGGGAGGGTGTGAGGGAGTTTTAAGGAGGTTAACTTGAGCCGCCCTGCCTCCCGAGAAGGGGGCGGGCGGTGGGCCTGCGGGTGGGGCCCTCTGGGGTCCTAGCCACCGCTCATGGTCTCTGTCGCCCCCAGTACCGCCTGGCGCCCATCCCCCGGGTCCGCCACTACTTCGCCTGTGCCGGCCTCGTCTTCCTCTGCATCCTGCTGGTCCATGTCCTGCTGATGCCCAGGTGGGTCTGGGGAGGGCGGGGCGGTGAGGCCTAAAAACCAAGTACGTTTATACGGTACCAGACCCGAGTCTCGTCTCTTACACGTGTGACTCAGGAAGGGGTTGTGCGGCTGACCGTGTTTTGGCTAGGCCTGTGTGCTGTTCTCGGGGCAGTTGGGCCGGATTGCAAAGGGCCCCTCCGCTGAGCAAAAAGGGCAGCAGTTGGGGGGGTGGGGCAGGAGGCGCCTGTGCACCTGGGGCCTGGGGCTCCGGGAGGCTTGGTTCTGCATATGAGCCCCAGAGCTTAGGTGGTCCCCTCCTGTCTAGGACGGCGGCCCTGGGGGTGTCCTTCGGGCTGGTGGCCTGTGTGCTGGGGCTGGTGCTGGGCCTGTGCTTTGCCGACCAGTTTGTGGTGAGTGGGAGGCCCCGGGCGGGGTACCTACCTGGGCCCCACGGGTAGTGGGTTGGGGAGGGGTGAGCCACTGCCTCCTGGACCCTCCCTGGGGGGCTTTGCCCACCTGAGCCCCTCCCGTCCCTGTCTCAAGGACCGTCACTTAGTGCTCCCGATGCTCCTCCCGAGAGTTCTGTCAGCATCCCCCGACCCTGCCCGCTCACGGCCCCCAGGGCCAGCTGCCCCTCCCATCTGCACCCCCCTGTCCTGGGCCGGAGTCTGCTGACAGGGCCCTGTGGTCCCATAGAGGTGCTGCCCAGCCTGGGGGACGCTCCCGGCCATCTCTGAGAAGGTGGAGACCCACCCGCTGCTGCGCTTGTCCCTGGCCATCCTGACCATCGGCAGCCTGCTCACTGTCGCCATCGTCAACCTGGTGCGTCCTGGGCGGGTAAAGACCCCCTGTGCCCGCCTCCTGGGTGGGGAGAGCCAGACCTGGACCTGGGGACCTCTAGATCCGAGACCCCCAGAATCTCGTTGCCTAAAAGCCATAGGCGGGGCGACCCCCTCCAGGGCCCCGAGGCTGGGCCCGGCAGGCCCTGACCGCCTGTCACAGGGCCTGTCTCCTCTGCAGCCGTTGCCGCCTTCCCCGGCCCCAGGGCTGCCGGCCGGGAACCAGACGAGCCCGAGGGCCCTGGGCAGTAGAGAGGGGACCCCGTGCGAGCTCCTCCCGGTGAGTGTGCTGGCCCCGGTGCCCGGGCTGTTGTGGAGCCGGGTCCGGCTCCCCCTCCTGGCACAGGCAGGGCCCACGGGGGCCACGAGGGTCTGGGCGCTGGTACAACGGTCCAGGGTGTGCCGGTGGGAGCCCCCCACACTGGTTTGAGTGTCCTGACCCCCAGGCTCTGGGTGGCTGTTAGGGTCTCCATTTTGATGACTGCGAAGCGGCTTGGGGAGGTTGCCATCGGTCACAGGGCTGGGACCGGGACCTAGGCAGACTAACGCCGAAGTTCCCCAGCAGGATGGAGGATGTGGGACTTCGGGGGCCATGGCAGAAAATTTTGAGCCATTCCCTAAAGGGCCAAAAGGTTATGGGTGGGGACAGGGCAGTGAGGAAAAGCAAAGCGTGTAGTGGGAACAGGTTTCAGCTCTTGGTGCAGGGGTGGCCAGGGGCTGGGTCTGGGTGCTGGGGGCTGTGGGGAGCCACGCGTGACCTGGAACGGGAGAGTGGCATGGGCAGGGATGCGCCTTGGGAAGGGCATGCTCGTGGCCCGGAGGCTGTCAAGGTGTGTGCCCGCCACGCCTGCCCTTTGTCACATCTGCACACCACGGGCATTTTATTACAGTGGTTTCCTTTAAATGAGTTCGCTTGCTCGAAGTGAAAGTAAAATTAAACGTAAAAATGACCCAGGGGTAGGAAGTTGGAGATGCCAGTGCCTGCTCGTCACTCAGCAGGGAGGTGGAGGAGCCACGGGCTGTTCAGAGTCCCCGAGCTGCGAGGGCTGGCCCAGATGGCATCTCTCCGGGGTGAGAGGCGGGGGGTGACCCGTGCCCTGTCTCCCCAGTATTACACCTGCAGCTGCATTCTGGCCTTTGTCGCCTGCTCCGTCTTCCTGCGCATGAGCCTGGAGCTGAAAGTGGTGCTGCTGACAGTGGCCTTGGTGGTCTACCTGGTGCTCTTCAACGTCTCCCAGTGCGCGCAGTGGGGCTGCTGTGGCCTCGGCCTGGGCAACCTCAGCGAGACCAATGCCACCCTCAGGTGGGGCCCAAGTCGCTCACTGCAGGACCCTGGTCCCCTGCCCACTGTGACTGGGGCCCACAGTAGCACCTCTGTCCCAGGAAGGGCTGGTGTGTGTGTTATTCTGGGGGCTCTGGGCCCCTCCCAGGTGGAGAGGAGAGCCTGGCCCCCCTTGAACTAAAAGGCTGGCACATGGGCCCCAGAGCAAAACCCGCCCTTGGGGGTCTGGCTGGCACCCGCTAAGTCCTGCCAGTCTGTAGCTGCCCAGGCCTCTTCCCCCACCCCCAGCAGGAGCCCTGGCCCCGCCCTGTGGGCCAGGCTGTGGCCTGGGGGCTTTCTCTTCAGAGGGGGACTGGTCCTCACCACACAGGTGTGAGCTCAGCTGTCACCTCGGAGGCCCCCCCACTCCCACCCCTTTTCTCTGCTCAAAGTTCTCTTGTCTTGTTTACTGTCTGCAGACGGTATGTCTGTACTGTCTCTGTGGCTTGCCCCTGGGTGCACACGCCCCCGCATGTGGGGCCTGGGAACGACCCCTGCCATCCCCCTGCCCTCCCCCTTCACACCCAGCAGCTCCCCAGCCTGTGCCTGCAGGGATCTGAAGACCACGACCAGCTTCTACCTAGTTCTCTTCTACGCCACTCTCGTCATGCTCTCCAGACAGGTGAGCCCAGGGAGCCCCTGCTGCGTCCCTCGCTCTGCTGAGCTCACCTGCCCTCCTTGTGGGGGCGGGGGGGGGCGGGCTGCCTCTGCCCTAGAGCACAGCCCTGTGGGGGAGCCCTGTTCCCGGTCTGCATGGCGCCCACTGGGGCCGGGACACGGCTGTGCCGCCGCCTGCAGATCGACTACTACTGCCGCCTGGACTGCCTGTGGAAGAAGAAGTTCAAGAAGGAGCGTGAGGAGTTTGAGACCATGGAGAGCGTGAACCGCCTCCTCCTGGAGAACGTCCTGCCGGCCCACGTGGCGGCCCACTTCGTCGGGGACAAGCTGGACGAGGTGTGGTGTTGGGCTGGGCTGCCCGAGGTCAGGGGAGGTTCACAGCTACAGCAAAGAGCTTCCTGTGGGTGTGGGCCTTGCCCGTGTGCCCTGGTGACAGCGTGAGCTGGCAGCTGGAGGGGCACGGGCTGGGGAGTCGGGGGCCTGGGTGGATGGGACGTCCCAACCCTTAGGCCTCAGGTTATTTGTCAGGAACTTGCTGGGCAGGATGGCGCAGGGCTCATGTGGCCGGTGTCCGTAACCTGGGCCACCTGTGATGAAGGCATGTGTCACGGAGAACCCGCCTCCTGATTTCTGCCTTCCACCTGGGGGTTCCCAACCCTGCTTTGCAGACTCAGGGTGTTTTAGAGCAAAAGACCAGCCCGAGCCTGCCCCCCCGCCACAGCCGACTCAGAGTGCCTCTTTAAAGGCCCCCTCCCATGGAAGGAACCCCCTGGGCCACCAGGCTGAGGACTGCCACCCGGCCCCCCTGGGGGCCCTCCATGGCGAGGTCGGGTGGTGCCCTGAGGCCCGTTCCTCCCTGTCCCCAGGACTGGTACCATCAGTCCTACGACTGCGTCTGCGTCATGTTCGCCTCCGTGCCGGAGTTCAAGGTCTTCTACACAGAGTGCGACGTCAACAAGGAGGGGCTGGAGTGCCTGCGCCTGCTCAACGAGATTATTGCCGACTTCGACGAGGTGCGGCCTGGCGGGCGGGCAGCAGCGTCCTGTGCCCCAGCGGGCAAACGCCCAGTGCTCCTGGTGGCTTTTTTGTTTTATTCGAGCTGTAGGTCTCTCTGCGATAGGCAGCTGCCTGGGTAGCTGTGGGCCCTTGTAGAGCGGTCGTTTCCAACTGAGCCCATGCGGCCGAAGGTCCTGAGAGCAAGAGCCGCAGAGCTCATTGCTGCAGAGCAAGAGCCGGAGGAGAGAGGAAGGGACGGAAGACAGGCAGCCAGGGGCACGGACGGGAGGCGCAGGGAGGGCTCGACCCCGCGGGAACCCGGGGCAGGCCTGCCTGCTGCTGTGGCTGTCATGGCCCTGCCCGCTCTGTCCCGCAGCTGCTGCTGAAGCCCAAGTTCAGCAGCGTGGAGAAGATCAAGACCATTGGTAGTACCTACATGGCAGCTGCTGGGCTCAGTGGCCCCTCCGGGAAGGAGACCCAGGTACTCAGCCAGGTTGGGGGCCTAAGAGTCTTGGCCCCAAATGTGAAATCCAGCAGTCCCCAGACCTGTCACTTCAATGAGGGTCCCTCCCAGGCCCTGACCTGTGGGGGGAGGGGGGTCAGCAGGGAGGGGGCAGGTCTCTGCTGGCCGATAGCCTCTCCTGCAGGCCTTGTGCCCATGGGCGCGGCAGGTCAGGGTGCTCTGAATGTCCGCCAGGCCCAGTCGGGGCAGGAAGACGGGGGTGGCCCACGGGGGTGGCCCGCGGCGGCCCCAGGGACACCAGGACAGCGCTCTGTCCTGCAGGACCTGGAGCGGCAGCACGCCCACATCGGCATCATGGTGGAGTTCAGTGTGGCCCTGATGAGCAAGCTGGATGGCATCAACAGGCACTCCTTCAACTCCTTCCGCCTGCGCGTGGGTGAGGCCCGGGGTGGGCGGGGCCTGTGCGGTGCACCCCACCGTCTCCCCTGAAAGGCTCCAGAGCCATTTTGATTAGGTTTAGTCGTAACACATTCCTGCAGAAAGTGGGGAGTCCCCAGCTGCCAGCTGCAGCTAGGTGACCTTCGAATGCACCAAGGGCCCCGTTAACCAAGCCGTCACTGTTAGCTGACAGGCCCTGCTCAGAGCCCATGTTCTGTTAGGAGACGAGCAGATGCTAGAGCAGCGAATGCTGCCCAGGCTCAGGCAGTGCCGCCAGGTCTGCGAAGCACGCACTCACCTTCCTCTGGCTGCTCCGTAGGTGCTTTCTGTGGTGGGCGGTAGAGTCTGTGACCCCCGCCCCAGGGAAGCCTGAGGCACGGTCTCTGTGACCTGACAGCTGGGAATGTCACTCTAGGCATCAACCACGGGCCTGTGATTGCCGGCGTGATCGGGGCACGGAAGCCCCAGTACGACATCTGGGGCAACACAGTCAACGTGGCCAGCAGGATGGAGAGCACTGGCGAGCTCGGGAAGATCCAGGTGAGCCCCAGCCGGGACTCGTGGCTGCGGACGACAGGACTTCCTGGAGGGGAGGGTGCCCGGGCCTCGGGCTGCTGGGAGCCCGGCTGTCGGGCCCACAAGGAAAACCAGACTCGGGCTGCTCACTGCCCCTCCGCGCAGTGTGTGCTTCCAGCTTATAAAGGCTTCGGTTTCTTTCCAGGTGACAGAAGAGACATGCACCATCCTCCAGGGACTCGGTTACTCTTGTGAATGTCGAGGACTGATTAATGTCAAAGGCAAAGGGGAGCTCAGGACATACTTTGTCTGCACAGACACTGCCAAGTTCCAAGGGCCCGGGCTGAACTGAGGGTGAGGTGGGCCAGACACACTCGAGGCTGATGTCCGTTGGAGAGCAAACCGACGGGAGGACTCAGCCAGCACTGCTGATCATGGCCTTCCACGGCCTTGGCCACCACTACCTCCTGACAGACGGCATGTGTGGCTCCTTGTATTTGCACAAAAGGACTTTTTAGATACGTGCGCCTACCCCCCACTCAAGGGGACCACAGAGCCGCCTGACACACAGCCAGCCAGACCCTCTGAGCTGCTGGCATTGGGAACGCGGCCTCCGGCACAGCAGGACGATGCTCACTCAAGAGTTCCACGTCCTCCTCCAGATCCTGCCCGCACACACACTGCCTGGTGGCTGGAGCTGCACAAGCACCCCATTTCCTAGGTGCAGGAGGACTACGGACAGGTGTGTGGGGCCGGCCGGGGACACCCAGCAGACCAGCTGCGGGATCCCACACTTCTCACCCAGGCGGGCTGGTCAACAGCTGGCCAGGGGCTGCAGACCTGTGAAGGGCGTCAGGAGGAGAGAGAGGCACAGCAGACACCCGTGCTGCATGCCATCTCTGCCCTGCCTTTGTTCTGCACGGATCCATCCTTAATGGAGGTCTTTCCCGTTTTAATGACTTCTTGGAGGCCGGCCAGTTGCCTCCCCTGCAGCATGTTATCTGCCTTTTTAATCACCAGCAGGAAGCAGGCCGCTGCCCCGTGTCCGCTTGGGGGACCATCCCAGCTCTGGGGTGTGGTGTGGCCCTCATGCCGAATCAGACCGCTTTGAGTCCAGCATTGAGGTCAGGTTCAGTGAGCAGAAATGCTACGAGATCAGGCCCCACCAGCCTCTTGGCCCTCCTCTCACCACCCGTGCACTTCCGAGCTCGGCCTGCAGGCTTCCCTGCGTCCTACTTCCACGCTGGGTGGGAAGAGAAGGAGGTGGGAGAGCTGGGACGCCCCCCTGGCCTTTAAGTCCAGCACCAACCCGAGGAGCCCTGGACCGGGAGCTGGTGCTCAGTGAGGGCGCGTGGAGAGGCCCCCACCTGGGAGGCCAGCCCCCTCTCGGATGGTGAGACCTTCTTGTTCTGATTGAGTGAATCGAGGCAGCTGCAAAAAGCCAGGTTTGTGAGCTTCAACTCTTGATCTAATGCAGTCAGTTAGAGGAGGTTCTAAGGTGAGACCCAACCAGCCAGCTCGTTCCTTTTTCTGAACGGACCCCCGCCTCGTGAGCAGAGCCACCCACGTGCCCTCACACACACAGGTGATTGTCACCGTATGGCCGGGCTCTCAGCCTGAAGTCACCCACGCACCCCCTGGAATTACCACTGTGCACAGAGGCAGCTTCAGGAGATGACACGGCCGCAGGTAGGGCGGCTCAGCGTCGAGGGCCACCCGGGGCTGAGGCCCGGGGTCGGCGGCCAGCCTGGTGGCTGAGTGCAGTGTGTGGGGCCAGTCCCGCTGCAGAGGAGTGGGTGGGCTAGTGTTGGCACTGAGGTGGCTCGTGCGGACAGCCAGCCCCACTCACACTGCGTAGGGGGCCGGCTTTGGGTGAGCGCTGTGCCCAAGTCTAGACCCCCAAACGCCAGCGGGGAGCAGGGCTGCTGGCTGGCACTCCGGGTGCTGGGCCTGCTCCGCCTCTCGCAATATCCGTTACTTTTTCTTCCAGTAACAGAAATCCCAATCGGGAGTTTAAAAAACAATTGGTCGCCCTTAATGTACCTTTATGTCCAGTTAAAGCACTGTGCTCAAATAAGATTAAGTTTTCGATGTTCAAATCAATGTAACTGACCATAGAAGTTACCTGCAGTTGTTTCGTATAAATGTTTTCTAATTACTGAGTCACTCCTCCATGTCCCAGTTTGTTCTGTGGATGACAGGACAGGCATTTTTCCTAACACTGGCCTTTTTCTATGGGTCAAGGACTTGCTTTAAAGTTTCCCCGAAGGTGGCTTCACTGACTCCAGTGAAACCCACCCCCTGAAGTTTCCTGGTTTATTTAACTTCCTAACTGGAAAAGGGGACCTCAGCCACTGCAGACACGTGCACCTAACAGGTGACTGTGCAGAAATGCACTTCAAGAAGGTGTATGCAAATAACTGGGGGTACTCTGTGTACTGAGTATTATAGACCTGTAGCATTTCAAAACATTTTGTTTTTATAAAGAACCTATGTTTCTACTTGGTTTAGCTTTTCTTGTATTAAATCACCAGCATGGAAAACCTGAATGTCTTGACTTTAATCCTCTCTCGGCCTTCAGGATCTTAGCCTAGCGAGAGCAGCCCTCCTGTTCAAGGGCCGATAACACCCCGTCATCTGATGGGGCCAGGGGGCAGTAGGGGCACTGCTGCCCCTGCTCTCTGACACTGAGGGTGGCCACAAGCAAAGCCGCCGCCCTCCTCACAAGGGCCACTGTCTGGGGAGCTCAACAGACACAATCTGGGAAGTCAGGAGGGCTCTGGTCTCTTTAGCGGGGACGGTGGTGAACGCGGAAACCTGAGGGACTTGCCGCTCCCCTGCGTTACCAGCAGAGGTCAAAGGGGGACTTAGCTGCTCTGCCTCGTCCAGGTTCAGCCTCGTTCCCCAACAGGAGTCCAGTCTCTGGAACGTTCAAGTTAATTGTTCCAAAGTTTAATTAAAAACACAATTTACAAATACTTAGTATCTTGTGAAAAGCACTTCCAAGGTAAGGATGAAAAAGTATGTACATAATGTATACTCAAATACCAGTCAGCTTCCACTCCCGTCAGGCCTGCACTCGGCAACAGCAGGCTTTTTAGCTCCTTCGGGATCTGAAACGAAAAGATCCTTCTTTCAGCGCCTCGTTCTCCCGGTGAACAAAGGGCCGGGAAGGGAGGGACAGCGCTGGTGGCCCCTCACTGGGGCAGGTGAGGGCGGCGTGCATTTTCAGGGGCTCATGGGACTCTTTCTCTGACTGTGTGGACAACACGGGATGGGAACCGAGAGTCGTCCGCGCCCGACCGCCACGCAGCGCTGGGACCTGCCCCAGGCCACTCGAGCGAGAAGGCTGCCATTCCCAACAGGGCCAGGCACGCACCTTCTGTCAGGTCCACCAGGCTGTCTCCCATGATGGGGCAGGGGACGGAGATGCCCATGGCCTTCCGAACCCCGTACGTGCTGACGACGTCGCCTGGTGTCACTTGCTGTGCGAGTTCTTTAAGGTTGTTGGTCACCTGCTCCGCTGGAAGAAAAAAGATGAAAGTGGAAACTATTCTAGGTATGGAAATGTAGCTGCTTCAGGGACCAAGGGTACAGATGCCAAGGCTACAGTGTCCACTCTGGCCACTTGGTACCCCTCCCCCGGAGGGGCCGCCTACCGAGATGCATTTCCCTGTAGGAGGGGCCCAGGAGGCAGATGGTGTTGGGAGGCGGCCTGGTGCTCAGGCGCTCGTTCTGGGCTTCCTGGAGCTCCCGGAGCAGCCTGGTGGTCTCGTCCAGCTTCCTCTGGAACACCTCGGCTTCTGGGGCGAGATGAGAGCACACTGAGGCGAGCTCACCTGCAGCTCGCCAGCTTCAGGGTGCACCGGTCAGTCTCCTCCCCTCCAACGAGACCACCATCGCAGATGCGCCCTGCTGTCCCTGAAGCCTGGCCAGTGGTCAAACGGCTCCGTGAGTCCGTTTGTTGGGGACGGTGGGCCCCCACTGCCGTGTCTGGTGGTACTCCTCTCAAGCCCTCCAGAGACACTCACCTTCAGAGTCAAAAACTTCAGCTGGAGCGCCAAAGCTGGCTACTGCTTCCAGCGCCGCCAGCCTGTCCTGGCTGCCGGCGTCCAGCCGCCCCACTGGCTCCACCTCCGCGACCTGCTTTAAAGAAAGGAGCACAGATGGCTGCAGCCCGCTGAGCCCGACAGGGCCAGCCTGAGAGCTCGGCGGGATGGCTCGTGTTCACAGGCCCTGTTATTACACTCATGTCCTTTGCAGTTAAAACTCACTGCCTATAATTGTGCCATTCCCAAAGCCTGGCAAAAAAGTGTCCATGAATCCACTGTGCTCATAAGGTAATGCTGCGTCTCACACGAGCTGCACCATTTGCTCTCACGTGTCAGCCACTCTGCATGTAAAGGGACAGCAGCCTGGGACGGCTGTCACTGCGACCAGGCCTCCTATCCTCCAGGCCCGTGGCGCACATCGGCCCGTCTGGCTCCCAGCACTCCTGTCGGAGACACTGTACTAAGACCCTCCCTGGTCTCCTCTGTGCCCCAGTGACAGACTGTCAGCGCTGCTTGGGAGAAACAAAACCCCAGGAAGGTAGAGTTGTAATTCTGGAACTGGAAGATGGTTTCCGTAACTTCAGCTCTGCTTTTTAGGAATGATCAACCCAGACAGTCAGGAGCCGAAGCCAGTGGGGCCCGCCAGACACCGGCACTGCGCTCCGTCTCTCTGCTGGCATGCGGTGCTGTCAGGAGCCCCGGACCCCTCCGGCTCTTCTCCTTAGCCCCCAGCTCCCTTTCCCTCCGAACCTCTCTCTCACACCTGCCCCTCACCGAGCACAGAACCTTCTGGGAAGGACGTGGTTCACCCCACAGCCTCAGTCTCTTCCTTCGTGTCCCTTCTGCTAGTTGTTGGGTTTTTTTTTTTGCTTAGACAAGCCCCACTGCTCCTCACGGGTCCCCTCCCTCTACCCTCTCTTTGGCACTATGGTGCCCTGTGCTCCGGGAGAAAACTGGGACTTCTTAGCGCTGCGCACGAGACCGGCACCTAAGCCTCCCCCTATGTCCTGTGGTCACCTACTTTCTCAGCTTTGCCTGTGAGAAAAGGTCCATCTGTCCATCCAGACCCAGGTCACTGGCACCACTTGGGAGGGGGTCCTCAGCCTCTCAGTGCTGGGTCCCCACCTCTCGCCCCGCCCTTGGGCCCGACTCCTGCACCGGCCGCCACGGTGCGCTCGGCGGGGAGACGGCCCTTCATTGCACTGGGTCCTCGGTGCCCTTTCCACACAGAGCCTGACCACTTCGGCCTTTCAGCTTACTCTCCATTTAAAAGTCTTTCAGAAAGAACAGTCACCTCTGTTTCCTTCGCTGTGTCACGTGTCCTTGTCTGGCCGTCATCTTCAGGTGATGCCTATGAGGGTGAAGAAAACCAACTTTGTGTTAGAAGGTGTAGAAAAAGGCAAATATCAAGGAAATAGAAAAATAGGCAGAGTCTCGTGGCAAGAGAAAAGGAGTAAGAATATGGATTATGGGAATATAAGCTTTGAACCAAAAATGAATTAGTTACAATTACTGGCATCTGAGAGTGTGAGTCAAGAGCACCCACTACTAACGACCCACGACAGGCAGCTCCGTGCCTGGTTCAAAACCCGCACGCGCGCAGCGCAGCCTAAGTGCCTGCAGAGACGCAGGCCCCTCTCCACAGCAGGCGACTAAGGAGGAGAGCGCAGGGGCTCCGGTGTCCCCGCTGACAGAGGTGCGCGCCCAGTGGGGAGGGCTGCTGTTCCAGACCCAGCTGCGCCCTGGCCCCAGACCGCAAGGACCAGGCAGATGGAATGGACGCCTGTGGTGTGCTCACAAGCCAGTCACAACGTCCCCTCGTTTGGAAAGAGGGCGTTGTGATTCATTTAACCAATCCCCAATTTTTATGTCCTTAGAGGTAACTTTTCTTATTTCCTAGAATCAGTTCTGAGAAGCACTATTAGATTGAGGAGAGGAGAAACTGTAAACTGGAAACACATTAGCTGAACGAAGGCTATTCGACTGGAGCTCAAGCCCATTCACTCCCTCAGAGGAACTAACAGGGAGGGTGCAGCAAAAACGTCTTCGGGCGTGGAACTCAGCTCCTGCGTGCGCACCCACGGCAGGCCCGTGGGACCCACGGGGCTGCTTCCACTCTGCTGGCAGGTGCAGCGAGGGCAGAAGACGAGGCCACTCTGGCCATAGCCACCAGGAAGTCACAACCCCCTGTGACAGAGGGTCCCCTGTGGTGACAGGGCAGGCAGGGGACCAGCCCCCTCTACGGCAGAAGGCACGCACACCTTGTTGTCCTGGTCTTGGAGCCGAGTCTCTAACTTACTCTGGATTACGAACTCTGTCCCCCTGAACTGGGGCTGGCTCCCAAGTGTCACTAAGAGACAGTGATGAGAAAGCAAATCCCACTTCTGCATCCTCAGGCCCAGGCCCAGGGGATGACGACAGTCCCTGGCCCTCAGGTCCTGGTGCCCGTACCACCTGACCCCATTCACTGTCCTCCGCCCGTGGTCTCTGCCCGGCTGGGCCTCTTCTCGGAGGACGGAGGACAGCTGCCACACTGGTTAGTCCCGAGGTTTCACAACACTGCATGACTAACGCTTGGGTGCTGGTGATAAATGGCTGACTTTTTGGAAGCATTCTTACCGTCTCCAACTCCTGCAGGGCTCTGGAATGGCCTCCTTTAGTTAAAACATCCAGTAGACTGTCTGCCATGACGTATGGGTAATCCTGGCACGTGGCCAGAAACTCCTGGATGCTGAAAGAGAGTGTTGGGGGGTCAGCGCTGTTGCAACGGATGCCCTCCATGGCCAGAGTGTGACGTCCAGTGTCCGCCCAGGTCCACCTCTGCAGCCACACACTCACCCACCAGGCACGGACTCCCCAGGAGAGAACAGGACCGTGAGGTGAGACGCTTGGAAGCCAGGCCGAGGAGAGTGAGGGCGCAGACCTGGGGCCCTGTGCCCCGCCCCCCAGGGGATCTTCCCCATCTGAAGACCCCCACCAGCACTCAGCCTCTCCAAGTCCCACGGCCAGCCTGGACCACGCCCTTCAGGCACACACGTGTAGATCAGTGCCGCAGAAAAACGAGGCACTTGGAACACTGAAGGGCGGGAGACTCACCTGAAATCGCTGGGCACGTCAGCGTCATCTTCCCCGTAGGTCGAGTAGATTAAATCCGAATCGTCCTTGCTGATATTGGCAAACGTGGAGTCATAGTGAGGTGCGTAGGAGCTGTAGGGCCCGTAGTTCAGGTACAACACTGTCGGCAAAGGTGGAACCCTCACTGCTACGGGCTGCCGCGTGCGTCAGTCCGTGCTGTGCTGCAGGGGGGGCTGCTCCCCTCCAGCTTCACTCCTGTGTCGACTGGTGTGCAAATCTAAGGTGGACATGCCCCCAACAGCCACCCACGGAGTCGCTACTCCCATGACCTCTCCCCCACAGAGGGGAGAGGGAATAGAGCGAAACTTGTTTTGAACACTAATATGCAACTTCTCAGTTTCTTCTGAGTTTAGTAAAATAGCTAAAGAATTAAAGTAGCAAAAATATCAGCGAGAGAGCGAAGGAAGCAGTAAACAGTACCGGCCACGAGGGGGCGCCTCACCCGGGGTCACTCTGTTCCTTTTGTCCTCCTTGAAGCCCTGCAGGGTGTTCACTCCGGACTGCAGCCGGCCCGTGGTCATGCCCAGCCGCACCGGGCAGTAGCCGGGCTCTGGAACACAAGGCCGAGCGGTGAGTCGGGCGCCGCCGGGAGGCTCGCTGAGCGGCGCCCGTGCTGGCGCACACGCAGCTTCACGCCACCTGTGTGACGGACGAGCTGGGGGAGCCCTCGCTGTCCCCACTTTTAAGGTAAGAAAACCTGAGCTTCGAAAGGCAGGCAGGTGGCCAGGACCCAACCTGGTCAGCCCCGTCCCAACGCTACCGCCTCCTGGAATTCTTTACAGTCGCACTGCGTCTCCCTGAGACCAAGATGGAGAAGGAGACCTTCGCCTGTTACGACGGACGCAGACCAGCAGGAAGGGCTCGTGAAAGGCCGAGTGGGGGACGGCAGCCTGGTGAGGACGTGCACTCGTAATACATTCGGGAGGAGCGTGTGCACTGAGGAGCAGCCTCTGAAGATGCTATCTCTGGACTCTGGCCACGGAGCCCGGCGGCTGGAGCGCCGTCCCGATACACCAAGGTTGCAAGTTCGATCCCCGGTCAGGGCACATGTAAGACTCAGCCAATGACTGCATCAGTAAGTGGGACAACAAATTGGTGTTTCTCTCTTTCACAAAAGATCAATGACAACGTGACCTCCACACACCAGGAACAAGCCCCGGGGACAACACTGGGCTCTGAAATGAGCAGGATGGTGCCAGGAGGTGACATGGTCTCTGGCTGCACCCACAGACATGGGTGCGTCCCCCTCGACGAGAGCCCTGGCCTTTGAGCCGTGAGCGCCCTGCCACCGCCCTGCGGCTACGACAGATGACTGCAGCAGCTCCTCTCCCCTCTCAGGAAGCAGCCCTGAGCTGGTGGCCTGATGGGCACTGGCCCTCCACCAGGACGACGAAAGTGAGACGTAAATGGGCACCTTCCACCCTAAACCAGGAGCGGGCCCAGGGGGCCATGCCAGCTTCGCCAGCTTGCTGGTCTCTAGGGGCCAGAGCCCAGTCACGAAGGAGGAAGGGGCAGGCTCAGAGTGTCACCCTGATCAGGCCAGCTGCCTCTCCTGGTACCCGGGTTTCCCCAGCACCACACTAGAAAGAGCCACGCTCTCAATTTAGTGGCAGTTTCTGTGGCCTGAGACCACACACACCCCTGCCGTGGGAAGTTCCCACACAGGCACAGAGTTCCACTGGGAAGCGTGGCCACAGTGCCTCCCCCTCCGAGGGAGCGGCCCCTCTGGAGCGCTTCAAGGGTGGGGCCAGCCAACGCCAGCTGGCCCACCCTCTCAGTCTCCAAACGCACTGGCTTCTTCCCTGCCCCCAGGTTTTCTCACCTGGGGTTCCCCCCTCCCTTGCCCACCTTTTTGGAGTCAAGCCAACCATGACCTGGCTAAGGAAGCCCTCTTGGACTGAGACACTAGAAGGCACAGCTGTTACACCCCTTTGTGGCCTGACCCACGAGGTGTCTGTCGGTGCCTCCTCTCTCTGCCCCTCGGAGCAGAAGGGATGGGTCTCTCCATCTATCCCCTCCCGTACCCCTAGACCCGCCCCCAGGCCCCCAGATAGCACCTGGCCCACTGTGAACAACAAACACTGGAGACTGTTTCCCAAAGCACAGGGACTCTGCCGTCACTCATTTTGGTGCCCTCCTCCCTCTCTCACAATGGCAGCAGGAGGAAGGAGATTTATGAATCACCACCCGCACAGCTGCTGATCACAGCACACGATCGCTTCCCCACAGAGCAACGACCAACAGATCCCATCAGATTCCCATCAGATCTCCAACCCTCTCCTGTGCTATTTCCGATCAAATGTCACCCGAGAAGATGACACAACTGAAGTTATAAAGCGGTGACTCCCGACCATCACAAGCTTTCTCCTGACCACAGGGAAAGACGGTGCTGTGACTGTGAGTGAGTGTCCCCCGTCACTACAAAGGCAGCCACACAGCACGCACACTCTGCGGGTCCCCGAGATGGTCGTGTGGCTAGCGTCACAACTGGGGGCTCTGTGATGCCCATGGAAGTGACTGAGGGCAGAGACCACAGGCCCCCAGCACCAGGCCAGAAACCAACACCTGGCCACCGGGCGCTGGTAATGGTGGGTGTGGCGTCCGGCCCCAGGACTCTGCATTCACGGAAGACCTGGCCCGCAGAGCGCTTCTTTAGGGCGAGGGAAAGTCAGGTGGCTGTTAGCACGAGACACGCGCTGCCGGGCCGAGTTCTTTGTAGACCACGAGGCAGCCAGTCGCCCCCCCCAGGCCCGCTGAGCCCCCCCCACTGCCGCCGCCGCTCTCTGCAGGTGTGAGTTCTCTCGTGACGCCTTCCCCGAACCCACCTCCAACCACAGGGTCCACCGGGTGCAGGAGGCCCAGCGTCGTCGTCCCATCTGGCTTTCTTCTTTCAAACTCGCACTGCAATGACCCGAAGCATTCGCATCAACGGTTCTGTACGTGTTGTACGTGTGTGCGCACGTGTGGCTGGCACCAAGAACCTTACTACAGCCACACTCACTACGGGTACTGTCTCACTACACCCAGATCGACTGCCGCATCTGTCTGCAGACGCGATGGGCTAAAGACGATGGCTAGGAAAACTTCAGGGTTTGGAAGAGCTTGGCGGGTCCTTAAGGCCACCTTGATCTGCCTGCGCAGCTCAGAGAGGACACTGAAGACCAGGAGGGTGGCTTGCCTAAGTCACGTACCAACCCACCTGCTTTTAAAACCAGTGTGTTAAACAACATCATTTCAAAAGACCAGAGTATAAATGTTTTCTTGTAAGCTTAAAATAAAGTATGTGGTTCATTTTCCAGTTTTAGAACACATTAACTTCACTAAAAAACCCCCAGTACTAGAGGGTAAGACTGACCATGGAACTCTCGAACACACGCTCACTTTTCTGCCCCGCGTGCCGTGCGGGGAGCTCCGAGGCAGGCGTGGGCCAGGGGCACAGCCTGGCTCAGGGCCCCGGGAAGGAAGGAGACGCGCCGTCACCTGACTGTTCGCCGGCCGCCGGGTCAGCTTTCCCCCGGACTCCCTCACGAGGCGGTCGATCTGCTCTTGCTCTCTTTCCAGACTCTGGCTCCTGGCTCTGTCCTCGAGCACGTCTCTGTCCTTCCTGAAAGCACACACTAACGCTGAGCACGAGAGCGGAGGAGTGGAGACGTTAAAAAGCGCTCCCACCTCGAACACAACGGCCCAATCGGACCCCTGGGAAGGGCGACCCGGGTCTGTCGGCTGGCTCCCTGCCTTCGGGCAGAGCCATTTACCCTGAACCTATTTCTCAGGACACCCACGAAAATTAGTTCCGCCATGAACGTATTTTGAAGGCAGAGAATTTTGACTTTTCAAATTAAAAATGAGTATACATTTACAATGTATAAACCTTGGAGACAAAAACTTGTCACAAGGTTCTGTTCTTTTCGCCGTGACAGCAGGGGTCCCAGACTGCCGACCAGAACCCTCTCCTGAGGCCACAGTGAGGGGTGGGCATCAGCTGTGCGAGGAGCTGGCCCTGCTGCCGCCGCCCCGAGGGGCCGGGGGAAGTCACTGCTCCCATGTGCGGGCGTCCGGGGGAGATGCGGCCTATCTCGGCAAGGCGTCCCTGCCTCTCCACCTCTTTATGGAACGAGGTAATAAGCACGTTTCCCCTAAACAAACAGCTCCTTTTCGCCCACAGCGAGCACTGAAGGGCTCGAGAAAGACAGCCCGACCGCAGCTCGGCGGACGCTTTACTTTTTGTTCTCCTTGCTGGGGCTCTTGAAGGCTCGGGTGTCCGTCTCGCCCGCGTCCTCCCGCTCTGTGGGCCAGCAGCCGCTGTCCTCGCCGCTCTGTGAGGTGTCTGCTCCGTCCTGCTTCCGGCTCTTCTGCAAGTCTGCCATGAATTCTATGCTCTGCTTCAGGCTCTGAATTCTCTCCTGAAAACATTCAAGAATATTCTTACCATAGGGCTGTCATTCATTTTTAAAGCAATGCACTGTGTTTCTCCTAAGAGCCTGCACTTCCCTTGTGACCGACTCGGGAAGAAAACCAATGACATGCCATTGTGCTGAGTGTTGTACCAAGGGACCAGGCCAGAGTTCACTCCTTCAATGCAGACGCCCGAATTTCCAGCACAGGAGAAGTCTTTATGGGTTTCCTGCATCACCAGCAAGCTCGCAGAAGAGGGCGTATATATTAAGACTAAATATTCTTTGCAGGACTAAGTTTAACAAGTCAAATTTGGTTTAATAGCATGTTGACATTTTCTATTTAACCGAATGGCTTTTTGTTTGAATTTTAGTAACTATCGAGTTTTTAAACCCCATGGCACGTGAAGTCTCCATACATTCTGGCACCCTAGGACGGCCGGCGGTCACCGACGCCACTGGGGAACGCCACGCTTCAGAGAATGAAAGGCGGCGGGCATGGCTTCTTTCTCAGAGTGCGTAATGGCTCTTCTCACCAAAGAAGTCTTGTTTCTGTTTTGTGAAACTCACGTCTAACTCCCCAGCACACTGACGTGCTGTGGGGTTGTGCCGTGGCCGAGGCCTGAGGTTCGGGAGGCAGGTCTGCTCTGTGCCGACTCTCACCTTTGAACTCTGAGCCTGTCACTGGAGGCCCGGAGGAGGGAGGTCTCCTCAGGGTTGCATAGCAACAGCAGCTAAGCCTTCAGCAGAACAACAGAAACTAAGGACCAGAGGGCATTCAGATAAGAGCGGTGCAGTCCAGAAATGCCAGTGACTCATCTGAGGTCACTCGGAGCCAGGGCCCGAGAGAGGCCTCCCTGTCTCCGGTGACTGCAGTGCGGGTTGTGAGAGCCTCAAGAACACGAGCTTGTCACTTTTACTGAACTTTTATTTTAAAGTCATCTTAAAAGTACTAAAGTAATACATTTTATTCTAGACAAAGATGTGGGTAGAGAGGAAAATAAAAGCCTTGTTAATTTATTACCTAGCAAGCAACAGGGCTAACAGCTTTATCATCCCAGTGTTTTTCTAAGCATTATACAGATTAGCAAACTGGAATTATACCAAATATTTGGGTACCAGAATTTTTTCACTTAATAGATCACAAGCATTTCCCCTCCATATCATTAAATACTCTTCAGTGCTTTTAATGACTGTGTAGTAATTCATCCTATTCTATGTACCACGATTTAGTTAATAACTTCCCATTAGACATTTAGATTATTTCCAAGTTTCCACCATTACAAACACAAGCCTCATGAAGATTATTGTAAATAATCGAAGAATCTTAATCTCTCTTTAGGATAAATTCCTAAAAATGAAAACACAAGGTCAAAGGTAATATTTTTCAGGCTTTTGATATTTTCTGCCAGACTGCCTTTCAGAAAAGCAGTACCAATTTCTGTTACTGTTTGAAAGTTTCTCTGAGTCCCTGTCAAACAGTGTAATTAAAGAAAATGTGCTAATTTGACTACTAAAAACATCTCTTATTTGAATGCATATTTAAAAAATATCAGGGAACGTGACCATTGCTGCACTGTCATCGGCCACTTGCCACTTGTGTTCCGTCCCGGAGGCCACTTCCCGCCGCTCACCCCCTCCAGTGCCCTGTGACCTCTCAGGATGGCCCGGGCGCTGACTTCTCGGTAACCTTCGTTCCGCTCCAGAACTGAAGCAGAACCTCAGTAACAACGTTTGGGGACTCTTTTTTTGGTAACATAACATGAACAAAATTAAAATAATTCATTTAGAGAAATTTTCAACATTTTGACATGAGTAATGGGAAAAGGTTGAGTTTAATTTTACTTTGAAAGCAATGACTTTCTTTTTTGGCAATTATAATGTCTCCAAATTAGCACACTGTTTACCAGCCCCCCTTCGGGAGAGCTCACCTGCCATCCCGGCCCAGCCGACGGGAAGGAAGCTGGCAGCCAGGCCACAAACCCCTGGCCGGTCTGATCCCAGGGCCACTGTGCTACAAATGCTGCTTCCTGTACTGCTCTGTTCCTGTTACCAAGGAGCGGCACCCTCGTCCCTGTTTGGACGCCCAGAAGAGCCACGCTTTGTGCCTGTCTTTATGAGAGTGACGCGGGCCAGTCACTGTCCTGTGTGTGTGTGTGTCTGGAAAAATAATGGGGGGGCACTCTACAACCTCGGCACTGAGCACTCAGGACAATGACCTTCCAAAAGACACTGTTAATGAAGGGCATGAGGGGCTCTTCTGGGAACACTGCTCTTTGAGGAATTAACTCAAAAGGCCTCAATTTAAACATTCAAAATCACCATAGTAAGTGAGGACCCCTCCCATCTGGGGCGGAGAGCCCAGTCCATAGAAAGCTCGCACACAGGACGGGCAGGCAGCCTTAACAGGAAGAGGTTTGAAAAAGGAGAGACCAGACAGAAAAGGGACAGTGGAGAGGACACTTAATGTCCTGTGCCTCCAACCACCCCACCCCCAGGGAAACCCAGGGATCCCGGGCTCTTCCGCACACTACCTCAGCTACAGGATTTAGCAGGGACGAGCAGTGACAAGTACCGGCAGCAGCGGTGAACCAAAGTGGATGAACTCACTCTGGATGTGCTATCCCCATGAATTAAATTTCCCCTACAAACTCGATGGACACATTCTGGAGTGACTAATGGTCGTGGTTACCTTCGGATACAGTAACGACCAGCTCCTGCAGGTTTTTAAACCCAGACTATGGCTGGTTCCGTACCCCAGGTCTTTCTGCGGATGAACGTTTCACACTCTGTTGCCTCCTACTAATCTTGCACAAGACGGGTAACTGGCTTACATCAGTCCCCCAGCCTCTAGGAGAGGATGGGAATGGACGCTGGCTAAACATTAGAGGAGCGCAAGAAGTGTCGTCAATCCAAATGGTTTTCTTTCCCCTGTCAAGTGGATCCAAGAACCTCTCAGAGCCCAGCATAGACACGCAGACGCGAGCTCACCCGGGGGACTGTCAGCGTGACACTGACACAGATGATCCCATCAAAGCTGGGAAACCGCTGCAGCTGTGACTCACCCCCACTGTCCTGACACTCCCCTGGGTCTGAGCTCACACTCTTAATTCTGGCTCTTTTCCTTCCTGCCGCCTCAGCCCTGCTCACTCCTGCTTCTCGAACCCCTCTCCCACCCTGCCCATCTGTCACTGCCCCTCCCCACGCCAGGTCCCATCCGGCACCAGCACTCACTGCTAGCAGGTATGTTGGTGGGCACGGGCCAAACCTCCTCCTGGAAGGAGGAGAACTTGGAAGCCCTCAGTGAGGGCGAAGGAGCCTCTGACTCCTGCTGTGGGGAGGTGCCAGCACTGTCTCGGGCCACTTCCCCTCCCACACAGGGCAGAGTGAAACCTCAGAGATGTGCACTGTCCTGGGAGCCCTCTTCCTCTCCTGCACAGATCACCTCCCACGGGGGTCAGGGCCTCGCCCCCAGAAGGCCGCACGCCACCTTCTGCCACCACCTACAGAACCTCCGAGCACGTGGCCTGCAGAGGCATCTGCGCCCCTGCACCCGCCCCTCCCACCTGGAAGGCCTCCAGGCCCCAGAGCTCAGCCTCCGGGGATGGAGGGCCTGCTCCTGGGCAGCCGAGGCCGCTGACAGTTCCCAGTCAGTTCCCGTGCTTCACCAGAACTCCAGACTCCAGCCCTACAGAGAGCTTTCCTCCTGAAAGGTTTCACAATTCACCTGGTCAGTCTTATCCTGGAGTTCAGGTTGATGTTCAGATTCACAGCAAATATCAATTCAAGGGCCTCATGTAAATAATTACAAGCAAATGCCAGTATTTATTTGTAACATTTCCAAAGAATAACCTTCCCACTTAATTTTCTCCTCTGTATTTACTGTCTTTTTCATGTACTATTTCCACTTTAACAGGATCTGCCTACCACACAATAAACCAGTTCTGAACTGGACCTGGACCACTGTGACCAAAACACAAAGGAATATGAAATTTTTAATAATTATTACTTATGGCAAATAATTTTCTTTACCTGGCTAAGAATTTTCATTCCTGAGTGCAATAGCTTCTTTGCAGCTTTATAATAAATGGTCTCTGGCTTGTTGTAAATCATGGCATTAGTACACATGAGTTTGAAGTGATCCTGCAGAGAGAGTATCAAGGGGGAAGATGCATTAAAACAAAACACGGTACCTTTTCCTGTTTTGAAATCATACAGGTCTTCGAAAAATTAACAACCAAAAACCCCTGCCCCCTTCTTTCACTACTTATCAGACATCAATAGCAATTTATTAAGTTTTAAGACTCACAAACAAGTACTGCTAGATTGATTTAAATATCCTACTATATTCTTTTCCAAATTCTGAAACTTTTCATAACTACATATAAACCTTATTTTTAGTCTTTATATTTTACTGAGTATGCTATTACAGTTGTGCTGATTTCCCCCCTTACACCCCTTCCACCCAGCACTCCCGCTCCCTCAGGCGGTCCCCCCACCATTGCTCATGTCCATCATGCATGTTTCGGCCTCTCCATTTCCTACGCTGTACTTCACATCCCCATGGCCATCCTGTAACCGATTTGTGCTTCTTAGTCCCCTCACCTCTTCACTCGTCCCCCACACCCCCTCCCATCTGGCAAGCATCAAAATGCTCTCTGTACCCATGATTCTGTCTCTGTTCTTGTTTGGCTGGTTTGTTTAGAGTCAATAGATTTGTATTTTTGCCACTTTACTGTTCATAGTTTTGATCTTCTTTTCCTTAAATAAGTCCCTTTAACATTTCATGTAATAATGGTTTGGCGATGATGAACTCCTCCAGTTTTTCCTCATCGGGGAAGCTCTTTATCTGCCCTTCAACTTTAAATGGTAGCTTTGCTGGGCACAGCAATCTTGGCTGGAGGTCCCTGCTTTTCATGACTTTGAACATTTCTCGCCAATTCCTTCTTCCCTACAAAGTTTGAGAAATCAGCTGACAGTCTTATGGGAACTTCCCTGTAGGTAACTGACTTCTTTTCTCTTGCTGCTTTTAAGATCCTCTCTTTGTTTTTAACCACTGGCACTTTAATTATGATGTGTCTTGGAGTGGGCCTCTTTGCATCCATCTTGTTCAGGACTCCATGCTTCCTGGACTTACATGTCTATCTCCTTCACCAAATTAGGGAAGTTTTCTTTTACTATTTTTTCAAATACGTTTTCAATTTCTTGTTCCTTCTCCTTTCTTTCTGGCATCTCTAGAAATGTGAATGTTGGACCTCCTGATGCTGTCCCGGAGGCTGCTTACACTCTCCTCCGTTTTTTGGACTTTTTCCTCTTGGTTGCTCTCTGCTTCCTTACGTCCCACACCACTGATTTGAGTCTCACTCTGCTCAGCTGTACTGTTGTTTCCCTGTCAATTGTTCTTTATTTCACTCAGTGTAGCCTTCGTTTCTGACTGGATCTTTTTAAGCTTTTGAGGTCCTCACTAAGTTCCTCGAGCAGTATTTTGAACTCTGCATCTGATAGATTGTCCACTGGCCCTGGGGCTTCCCAGGTGGTACAGACCAAGGTCAGCCCCACCTGTTTTGTCTGAGGACCCCCCCCCCTTCCTGAGCTGTAAAGCAGTCTGAGATAGCTGCTACTTGTATTGGGCTTAGGGAATCCCAGGTGAAGCCAAACTGTGAATCTAGGCTGCTAGTTCCTGGCTTGGGGGGCTCTCTGAGGCCAGCTGTGCCTGTTTGATAGGATTTAGGAAGTTGTGAAGCAGGAGCCAAGACCAGCCATTCACGTGGAAAAACAGCTTGGGAGGGTCCTTCAGCTGAGTGGGGCGGAGTCTCTGGGGATCTCCGAGGCAGGTCAAACAGTTTTCGCCAGGGTGATGGAGTCTCAGAAATGGCGCCCGCTTGCCGGCTCTGTGGAGGGAGGATTTAGAAAAGAGAGGAAGGGCTCTGTTCTCCTGGATGCCAGACACTCCAGTTCCTCCCTTTATGCCACTGGTGCCCTTCAAGCAGCTGCCCCAGTGCTGGAGCCCAGAGGGAGTGAGTCTGAGCAGGTGAGTCCGTGTGTGGGTTCTTCAAGAGGAACTGCTTGGGGCTCCAGCAGCTTCTTTCACCAACTCAATCCCCGCTGGATTTTGTAACCAGCTGTTGTGAAAACTTATCTTCCTGGTACTGGAGCCCTGGACTGGGGGGCCTGGTGTGGGTCTGGGACTCCTTGCTCCTGAGACATCCCTCCCAAATTTTTACCCACTGCAGGTGGGTGAGGGACCAGACTGTTTCGTGTCTGTGCCCCTCCAACCAGTCTGGTTGGATGTGATTTCTTTAATTCTGTAGTTGTCAGACTTCCATTGAACTTGATTTCTGATGGTTCTGAGTGGTGGTTCTATGTTTTAGTTGTAACTTTGATGTGGTTGAGCAAGGAGGTGAGCTGTGTCTGCCTGTGCTGCCATCTTGACTGGAAGCCCCCACAACTGTATATAAACTTAGATACCAAGATAAAAATTTTAATCTTACTGCACAAAAAAAATATTATCATGTATTTAATAGAATACTCTTGATGGAGTAGCTAATCTGATTAGAAATATTACTCTTGGTTTTATAAAATATCTTAAGTTTCCATCTATTTATGAATTAATCATTTTATTTAAGATCTTGACTGAAAACTGGGAACAATGAGTGCTAAATTACCACAACTGATCCTACTAAATGCAAACTAACTGAGCAAAAATGTTACCACACTTATACTAGTTTTCTTTTATCTGTTTGGGTGCTATTAT